ATATCGCTACAAAATCATTGGATCAACCATTATCAACCATTATTGACCATTATCAGCCATTATCAACCATCATATTAGGCATTTATAACTGGTTTTCCCCTTATCATGTTGGGTCTCCGGGGCAATACGCCGAATTCCGGCAGCACGACAGGCGCGTGCAGGCCGAACTGATCGCTGCAGGGAGGGTCAGCGGTCCTCCAGCCACCAACAGTGGTTAATAATGGCCAATAATGGTCCATCAACAGTTCTTTTGTTTTTTTTAAAGTCCAAAATGTCGGTTTCACCTTTTTTTTAAGCCACCATTTGTATGGGTGTGTCTCAAAATGTCTAAGTCAGCCCAGACACAAAGCCTTTTTAGTGGGGGAAAGAGGATGAACCACTTGATCGGACCTTAGTGGTATTTACTTTGTCACAGATGGTGTTTCTGCTTGGGACTTGGCATGTGACAAACAAACACCCATAATTTAATGACGCACCAACAGACGTTTTTGCTGTTTGAAACACTTGCCGATTGGCTAAGTGGCATTCGAACTTGGTATCAGAAATCATCAAACTCACCCCTTCAACCTTTTCATAGCTGGGGTTGCCATGGTTCCTGCCGAGTTTGAAGATATTGTGTCAAAATTCAGGGCACCAAAAAATGGATGGTTCCACGATTTTGTCACAATTTGTAATTTCACTATTGCCACAGTCTTGACCCATCCCATCCCATGGGAGGATCATTATTCTCCAGCTTAGTTTGTGAACTATATGATTGAGAATGAATATACATATACTATGTAAAAAGCATGCAGATTATATATACACGCATCAAAGTACTCATGTTAGATTTCAGTCTCTGCGATTCGTTCCTCACATAGGCAGAGGCTCCTGAGCACCTGTGATAAGAAGATTGGATATATATATATGTATGTATATATATATACAATAGAGGCCCTGGATGGTCAAGTCAGAAAATGCCACTAGTTCACGTCCCGTTTCTGGGACCAGTTCAACCCCCCCAAATAGACAGCTCATAGACAGCTCTTATTTTCAACTTTCGAAGCACGGCTCGTACAAATCAATGAGCTCCATGTTCTCTGCCAGCCACGGCTCTGAGCTGTCCCACTCAGCAGAATGGTCCACAGTCATGATAATTGGCACAGCAAAGATATATACAGAATACCGGTATATGCCAGTTTTGGATTGTCCCAGGCTGTGAACATCGGAATTGCATGCCATCAGAATACTATTAGCGGGCGGGAGGACCACCAAGGTCGAACACAGTGGCATCAGAATACTATTGGCGGGCGCGCAATGCCGACACCAATCATCAGAATACTATATATTAGCGGGCGGGAGGACCACCAAGGTCGAACACAGTGGCATCAGAATACTATTGGCGGGCGCGCAATGCCGACACCAATCATCAGAATACTATTAGCGGGCGGGAGGACCACGAAAGCCGAACACAGTGCCATCAGAATACTATTGGCGGGCGCGCAATGCCAACACCAGTCCTCAGAATACTATTAGCGGGCGGGAGGACCACCAACGTGGAACACAGTGCCATCAGAATACTATTAGCGGGCGGAAGGACCACCCAAGTGGAACACAATGCCATCAGAATACTATTAGCGGGCGGGAGGACCACAACAGTCGAACGCAATGTCATCAGAATACTATTAGCGGGCGGGAGGACAACCAACATGGAACACAGTGCTATCAGAATACTATTAGCGGGCGGGAGAGCCATGGGCCACCCCGTTTGGGACTTACAAAGTTATTAACTAGCGGGAGAAGGGGGGAGAAGGAGGAAGGGGAAGGGGGTCTATCTATTGCCCGATAGCGTTGTACACCCGTACCTTCCCAAACGGGGTGCCCCCGTACACTCCCAATAGTTCCAAAAGTAGCTTATTATGAAAAGCTTTCTTGTTTAATGTTACCTCTCTCAAAAACATCGCTTCAGGTTAAGGACTCGTTCATTAATTTAGCCGCTGGCTCAACAATCTGGTACCCCTAGCTCGCCACAAAGCGCCCAAGAGCATACCGGCTTCTGGCACATATAGCTGCGCAAATAAGCGCCCAAGAGCGTAACGGCCTACATTGGTGTTATACTTCTGGTACCCTACGCTGCAGAAGTCCAGCGCCCAGAACGTACCCGGCTACATTGTTGTTATACACTTATGAACTTATTATTGAATACTCAGACAATTATCCCTGCCGATCCATACTTGGGACACATGTTAGAAAATGTGGACCCCTAGCTGGCGACAAGCGCAGAGCCGTACCGGGATACATTGTTGTTATGCACTTCTCATTGAATATACTCAGACATCATCCCTGCGATCAATACATGACACATAATGGAAAATTTGTGGTACCCCTAGCTGCGCGACCAGCCCCCAAGAGCGTACCGGCTACATTGTTCTTCATCCTTGCGATCCATACATGACACTCGTGAGACAATGTGGTACCCCTAGCTGCGCGACAAGCGCCCAAGAGCGTACCGGATACATGGTTGTTATGCACTTATCCTGGAATACTGACAAACCTATATCTCCCCTGGATTCAAAGATGACACATGTGAGACAATGTGGTACCCCCAGCTGCGCGACAAACGCCCAAGAGCGTACCGGCTACAGCTGCCCTCAGCTGCGCACTCCCGCGCCCAGAAGCACAGCCATGTCATGGAGCATACCGGCTACATTGCGCTGCCCTCAGCTGCGCACAGCGGCGCCCAGAAGCGCAGCCATGTCATGGTACCCCTAGCTGCGCGACAAGCGCCCAAGAGCATACCGGCTACATTGTGCTGCCCTCAGCTGCGCACAGCGGCGCCCAGAAGCACAGCCATGTCATGGTACCCCTAGCTGCGCGACAAGCGCCCAAGAGCGTACCGGTCACATCATGAACCCCAACATTCACGCAGTGGTACCCCTAGCTGCGCGACAAGCGCCCAAGAGCGTACCGGCATTCTGTCAGCTGCCCTCAGCTGCGCTCCCGCGCCCAGAAGCACAGCCATGTCATGGTACCCCTTGCTGCGAGACCAGCGCCCAAGAGCATACCGGCTACATTGCGCTGCCCTCAGCTGCGCGCAGCGGTGCCCAGAAGCACAGCCATGTCATGGTACCCCTAGCTGCGCGACAAGCGCCCAAGAGCGTACCGGTCACATCATGAACTCCAAGATTCACGCAGGTGTGCACCAGGCAGTCTGGCAACTTTTTCCTCTCCACGTCATCCAGTCTACTGCCAGTGTCAGCCACGTCTAAATGCAACTGCTCTGCTGCGCTGCCATGGGTAAAACCATTTGTGTTTACTTGAATGTGTGTCTGTGTGTCTGTTGTAAGCTCATGAGAGCAACTTTTGCCCACGTTGGCATCCAGCAAGGCCACCCAACCCCTTCAGGGAAGACTTGGCCCCTCCAACAGAGCCGACACCACCTGCAAACATCTCATGTCTTTTTTTGAAGTAGATATACATATACAATAATTCCAATCTATCCAGGACAGTGCTGCATCCGGGCCACTGGCCACAAACAATGGATCATCCGACAGAGATGATGTGACATATCCTATATAGCTAGTGGAGACATACATATACGCACATATTATCATGACGGATACCACAACACATATATATATATATATGTTTAAGTCTCGGTCATCTATCTGGATATCTGTATCTAACTCTCCAAGTATTCAAGAGGTACGTCGGCATCGCATTGAATCACCAGATGCACATGCACAGTAATAGCTCAAAAAACAGATACACAAATATATTTGTACATATCATATCATATATATATTGTATGTTGATGTATCTATGTATATATATATATATATATATATTGTATGTTGATGTATCTATGTATATGGCAATGTCTATCTATATCATATCTCTCCAGGTGTTCAGCAAGGTGGCAGACAGGTACAGACAGGTGCAGACTACAGCCCTTTGGGATGCAGCATGCCATTGGGAGCATAGTAGCAGTCTCACTCGCGCAGCTTTCGAGCCAGCAAGTATTGCAAATCAGCCACTGTCAGCGCGCCAGCCTTGGCACGGAGAGCTCGCAGCCGCCGTTCCTGTCAGGGATATGCGGACAGGGATGATGCCGGTGCTGGGATTAGACTATTCCCTGGCCTGCTGTTTGATTGAAGCCGTGGCCCTTTTCAGCTGTAGCTTCAGCACCTTCCGTTCTTCTTTCAAAGCTTGCACGGCTTCAGTGCTGCCATCTGCCCGCGCTGCAACACCAGCAGGAGGTGCACCAGCAGCAGCAGCCCCACCAGCGCCATTGTCAGCCATGCACTGTTACACACACACAGGAGTGGTTCCGAGTGTCAAACTGAGGTCCCTCAAAAGCTGCAGGCGTCACAGTCCGCCGATGACCCCATGTCCTTCACTCAATTCCGCACATGTCTTCAAACCCTCCGAGATCCCGGATGAAAGCAACCTAACATGCATTTAATTTCTAGATTCCCACATGTAATCTACTCTAGACTGTACTAAATTAGTAGCGTACCCCCAGCTGTGCACTCAGCACCCAGGAGCGTACACGCTGCCCTCAGCTACGCACAGCGGCGTCCAGAAGCACAGCTACTATACAGAACAGCTTTCCAACATTTTGCAACCCCCCTTCTCTCATCCGTCGGTGGGCCACTGGCAAAAACATGTCTGAATTGGGCACCAGAAATGGGACCCGAAAAGCTTGGCATTTAGGGTGTGACGACTGTGGGCCCTCATAGTGCATCACTTTTGCCTGCTTCCATTGGAAGTCTATTTACAAGAGTTTCTGCATGTGTTTCATGCACCGTTTCTTTGGCCACATACACGCCAGCTCAGCTGGCTTCGGCTTGCTATCGGGCAAGCTACTTGGGTTCCCCATGAGCTGCCGGATGCTTGCGTTTAAACTTGACATCTCTTGCTGTGGAGCTGCTCCAACTCCAGCAAAAGCTGCTTTCCACGGCTTGGCTGCGAAGAAGCTACGAGGGGCTTGCATGACATGCCACACCCAAGCCAATGGATTAATTAAAGCCATCAGGAGAAGTGCTGCGCAGAGAGCGATGCTCTTTTTGAAGCCATTTCTTGAAGCCACTGAATGCTGCCATGTCCAAGGGTTGAGCCACATGCGTGGCACTGGCTGGCACGAACGCGAGTTGTAGGCCAGACACTGCAGCTGCCTTCAGGACACTTGGCGTCAAATGACATGGCGCACAATCTAACAGCAAGACCCCTTGGGTCCCTGCGCTGCACACACTTTTGATGACAGCTGCAACTTCTTCCAGAATCTGCACCATGCAAGGAGAAGAGTTCCACGCCGATTGCTGTGCTAGCACTTTCAGGTTTGTCTGCGGCAATGCGGCTTGGCCGCGCATCACAGCCTTTGTCAACCGTGCACGGCTGCCAAGCAAGTAGTGCGGTAACTTTCCTTGTAGGCTTGTACATGTGCAAATAATAGCAACATAAGTGAAACATCCTCTGTGATTCTCCTTCTTCACCTTCGCAGTAAAAGGCACTTGGCGCCCATGCTCCGCAGTGACACAGCCCGCTTGCGGCATCAAGCTGTAGCCAATGGATGTCTCGTCTAAGTTGAGAAACACCAGCTTTTTAGTGGCAAACTTCCGCCTGATGTAGCAGACTTGCCGCCAAAAGGCTTCCACCTACCAGGTGGAACAGCACGCTATGGAACGGCCCAGCTTAGACTCGTTTCGCGTCCCAAAAATGGTCCCAAAAAGTGGCCTCGGAAATAGACAACCTTAGCTTCGGGGCCTCTGGGCGGACCCTTTTTTGGGACCAAATCCCGTTCCCAAAACGGGACCGAAACTGCTACCCACAATGGCCCCTAAACGGAAAGAAAATGGACACCCTGGAAGCAACTATCCCTAGAGCCTTTGCTTGTAGCAAGGGCGTTTCAATGTGCAACTTTGGTCGGATGGCGCCGCGGCGAACGCCCCAGCGGCCACGCCAGCAACAAACCCACTTGCGCACCATTCGTGCGGCAGGCAGGCGTGCTTCAGGGTCAGTGCCTTTCAGAACCGATTCATACTGCCAATATACTTCAGTAGCCGAAGGTGCCACGCCATGACCAACATTCAGTTGCGCTACCCAGTCACGAGCGGTAGCTTCAGCTAGAAACTTCTTAGCCCGGGCCACTGCCAGTCGCCACTCTTGCGTCTCAGGTGCAAAGGTTTGCCTCAATGTTTCCATTGGTGTTTGCAAGACCAAGTCCTCCACGATGCGACCAGGGTCCATGGAGCTTGGCGACGCAGCTGCAGCCCAGTGCTGCAACATACGCACGCTGAGTTCCAGATTCTGGTCGCTCAGCAGGTATACAGCTATATGGTTGCTTTCTGTCCAGCAGGGCCCAAGCCACCAGAAGCTTCGCGCTTCTTACTGTGCCGCCTTCTTTGCAAGGCATTCTTGATCTGCAGCTGGTTCGTCCGTAAGGCTTCCTGCAATTGGAACACCTCCTCGGACATCTGGGAAATGACAGCACATGGGGATGAAGGCAGCACGTTCTTGTCCCTAAATAGCTTGAACCAAAGGAATGCACAAAATGCGCTGGTCCCCGTGTCTGCCGTAACCCATGCACAGAAATTGAAAACCCAACAGAAATCCACAAGAACATCGCCAGAACTTGGATGAGTGCAACCACAGAATCAGTAACAGAAACCGTCTCTAAACGCTTGGAATCGACAATGCTTGATGCTACTTGGCCTCTTGCTGTTTGGCGCATGCATGCATGCAACTCTGTTACACATGTATGATGAAGGAAGGCAATGAATATGAACAATAGAGGCCCTGGATGGTCAAGTCAGAAAATGCCACTAGTTCACGTCCCGTTTCTGGGACCAGTTCAACCCCCCCAAATAGACAGCTCATAGACAGCTCATAGACAGCTCTTATTTTCAACTTTCGAAGCACGGCTCGTACAAATCAATGAGCTCCATGTTCTCTGCCAGCCACGGCTCTGAGCTGTCCCACTCAGCAGAATGGTCCACAGTCATGATAATTGGCACAGCAAAGATATATACAGAATACCGGTATATGCCAGTTTTGGATTGTCCCAGGCTGTGAACATCGGCATTGCATGCCATCAGAATACTATTAGCGGGCGGGAGGACCACCAAGGTCGAACACAGTGGCATCAGAATACTATTGGCGGGCGCGCAATGCCGACACCAATCATCAGAATACTATTAGCGGGCGGGAGGACCACCAAGGTCGAACACAGTGGCATCAGAATACTATTGGCGGGCGCGCAATGCCGACACCAATCATCAGAATACTATTAGCGGGCGGGAGGACCACGAAAGCCGAACACAGTGCCATCAGAATACTATTGGCGGGCGCGCAATGCCAACACCAGTCCTCAGAATACTATTAGCGGGCGGGAGGACCACCAACGTGGAACACAGTGCCATCAGAATACTATTAGCGGGCGGAAGGACCACCCAAGTGGAACACAATGCCATCAGAATACTATTAGCGGGCGGGAGGACCACAACAGTCGAACGCAATGTCATCAGAATACTATTAGCGGGCGGGAGGACAACCAACATGGAACACAGTGCTATCAGAATACTATTAGCGGGCGGGAGAGCCATGGGCCACCCCGTTTGGGACTTACAAAGTTATTAACTAGCGGGAGAAGGGGGGAGAAGGAGGAAGGGGAAGGGGGTCTATCTATTGCCCGATAGCGTTGTACACCCGTACCTTCCCAAACGGGGTGCCCCCGTACACTCCCAATAGTTCCAAAAGTAGCTTATTATGAAAAGCTTTCTTGTTTAATGTTACCTCTCTCAAAAACATCGCTTCAGGAAGACCTCGTTCATTAATTCCGCTGGGCTCAACAATCTGGTACCCCTAGCTGCGCCACAAGCGCCCAAGAGCATACCGGCTTCTGGCACCTCTAGCTGCGCAATAAGCGCCCAAGAGCGTACCGGCTACATTGTTGTTATACTTCTGGTACCCTAGCTGCGAGACCAGCGCCCAAGAACGTACCGGCACCATTGTTGTTATACACTTATGACTTATTATTGAATACTCAGACATTATCCCTGCGATCCATACATGACACATGTTAGACAATGTGGTACCCCTAGCTGCGCGACAAGCGCCCAAGAGCGTACCGGCTACATTGTTGTTATGCACTTCTCATTGAATATACTCAGACATCATCCCTGCGATCAATACATGACACATAATGGAAAATTTGTGGTACCCCTAGCTGCGCGACCAGCCCCCAAGAGCGTACCGGCTACATTGTTCTTCATCCTTGCGATCCATACATGACACTTGTGAGACAATGTGGTACCCCTAGCTGCGCGACAAGCGCCCAAGAGCGTACCGGATACATGGTTGTTATGCACTTATCCTGGAATACTGACAAACCTATATCTCCCCTGGATTCAAAGATGACACATGTGAGACAATGTGGTACCCCCAGCTGCGCGACAAACGCCCAAGAGCGTACCGGCTACAGCTGCCCTCAGCTGCGCACTCCCGCGCCCAGAAGCACAGCCATGTCATGGAGCATACCGGCTACATTGCGCTGCCCTCAGCTGCGCACAGCGGCGCCCAGAAGCGCAGCCATGTCATGGTACCCCTAGCTGCGCGACAAGCGCCCAAGAGCATACCGGCTACATTGTGCTGCCCTCAGCTGCGCACAGCGGCGCCCAGAAGCACAGCCATGTCATGGTACCCCTAGCTGCGCGACAAGCGCCCAAGAGCGTACCGGTCACATCATGAACCCCAACATTCACGCAGTGGTACCCCTAGCTGCGCGACAAGCGCCCAAGAGCGTACCGGCATTCTGTCAGCTGCCCTCAGCTGCGCTCCCGCGCCCAGAAGCACAGCCATGTCATGGTACCCCTTGCTGCGAGACCAGCGCCCAAGAGCATACCGGCTACATTGCGCTGCCCTCAGCTGCGCGCAGCGGCGCCCAGAAGCACAGCCATGTCATGGTACCCCTAGCTGCGCGACAAGCGCCCAAGAGCGTACCGGTCACATCATGAACTCCAAGATTCACGCAGGTGTGCACCAGGCAGTCTGGCAACTTTTTCCTCTCCACGTCATCCAGTCTACTGCCAGTGTCAGCCACGTCTAAATGCAACTGCGCTGCTGCGCTGCCATGGGTAAAACCATTTGTGTTTACTTGAATGTGTGTCTGTGTGTCTGTTGTAAGCTCATGAGAGCAACTTTTGCCCACGTTGGCATCCAGCAAGGCCACCCAACCCCTTCAGGGAAGACTTGGCCCCTCCAACAGAGCCGACACCACCTGCAAACATCTCATGTCTTTTTTTGAAGTAGATATACATATACAACAATTCCAATCTATCCAGGACAGTGCTGCATCCGGGCCACTGGCCACAAACAATGGATCATCCGACAGAGATGATGTGACATATCCTATATAGCTAGTGGAGACATACATATACGCACATATTATCATGACGGATACACACACACACACATATATATATATATATATGTTTAAGTCTCGGTCATCTATCTGGATATCTGTATCTAACTCTCCAAGTATTCAAGAGGTACGTCGGCATCGCATTGAATCACCAGATGCACATGCACAGTAATAGCTCAAAAAACAGATACACAAATATATTTGTACATATCATATCATATATATATTGTATGTTGATGTATCTATGTATATATATATATGTATGTTGATGTATCTATGTATATGGCAATGTCTATCTATATCATATCTCTCCAGGTGTTCAGCAAGGTGGCAGACAGGTACAGACAGGTGCAGACTACAGCCCTTTGGGATGCAGCATGCCATTGGGAGCATAGTAGCAGTCTCACTCGCGCAGCTTTCGAGCCAGCAAGTATTGCAAATCAGCCACTGTCAGCGCGCCAGCCTTGTTGGCACGGAGAGCTCGCAGCCGCCGTTCCTGTCAGGGATATGCGGACAGGGATGATGCCGGTGCTGGGATTAGACTATTGCCCTGGCCTGCTGTTTGATTGAAGCCGTGGCCCTTTTCAGCTGTAGCTTCAGCACCTTCCGTTCTTCTTTCAAAGCTTGCACGGCTTCAGTGCTGCCATCTGCCCGCGCTGCAACACCAGCAGGAGGTGCACCAGCAGCAGCAGCCCCACCAGCGCCATTGTCAGCCATGCACTGTTACACACACACAGGAGTGGTTCCGAGTGTCAAACTGAGGTCCCTCAAAAGCTGCAGGCGTCACAGTCCGCCGATGACCCCATGTCCTTCACTCAATTCCGCACATGTCTTCAAACCCTCCGAGATCCCGGATGAAAGCAACCTAACATGCATTTAATTTCTAGATTCCCACATGTAATCTACTCTAGACTGTACTAAATTAGTAGCGTACCCCCAGCTGTGCACTCAGCACCCAGGAGCGTACACGCTGCCCTCAGCTACGCACAGCGGCGTCCAGAAGCACAGCTACTATACAGAACAGCTTTCCAACATTTTGCAACCCCCATTCTCTCATCCGTCGGTGGGCCACTGGCAAAAACATGTCTGAATTGGGCACCAGAAATGGGACCCGAAAAGCTTGGCATTTAGGGTGTGACGACTGTGGGCCCTCATAGTGCATCACTTTTGCCTGCTTCCATGGGAAGTCTATTTACAAGAGTTTCTGCATGTGTTTCATGCACCGTTTCTTTGGCCACATACACGCCAGCTCAGCTGGCTTCGGCTTGCTATCATCGGGCAAGCTACTTGGGTTCCCCATGAGCTGCCGGATGCTTGCGTTTAAACTTGACATCTCTTGCTGTGGAGCTGCTCCAACTCCAGCAAAAGCTGCTTTCCACGGCTTGGCTGCGAAGAAGCTACGAGGGGCTTGCATGACATGCCACACCCAAGCCAATGGATTAATTCAGCCATCAGGAGAAGTGCTGCGCAGAGAGCGATGCTCTTTTTGAAGCCATTTCTTGAAGCCACTGAATGCTGCCATGTCCAAGGGTTGAGCCACATGCGTGGCACTGGCTGGCACGAACGCGAGTTGTAGGCCAGACACTGCAGCTGCCTTCAGGACACTTGGCGTCAAATGACATGGCGCACAATCTAACAGCAAGACCCCTTGGGTCCCTGCGCTGCACACACTTTTGATGACAGCTGCAACTTCTTCCAGAATCTGCACCATGCAAGGAGAAGAGTTCCACGCCGATTGCTGTGCTAGCACTTTCAGGTTTGTCTGCGGCAATGCGGCTTGGCCGCGCATCACAGCCTTTGTCAACCGTGCACGGCTGCCAAGCAAGTAGTGCGGTAACTTTCCTTGTAGGCTTATACATGTGCAAATAATAGCAACATAAGTAAAACATCCTCTGTGATTCTCCTTCTTCACCTTCGCAGTAAAAGGCACTTGGCGCCCATGCTCCGCAGTGACACAGCCCGCTTGCGGCATCAAGCTGTAGCCAATGGATGTCTCGTCTAAGTTGAGAAACACCAGCTTTTTAGTGGCAAACTTCCGCCTGATGTAGCAGACTTGCCGCCAAAAGGCTTCCACCTACCAGGTGGAACAGCACGCTATGGAACGGCACAGCTTAGACTCGTTTCGCGTCCCAAAAATGGTCCCAAAAAGTGGCCTCGGAAATAGACAACCTTAGCTTCGGGGCCTCTGGGCGGACCCTTTTTTGGGACCAAATCCCGTTCCCAAAACGGGACCGAAACTGCTACCCACAATGGCCCCTAAACGGAAAGAAAATGGACACCCTGGAAGCAACTATCCCTAGAGCCTTTGCTTGTAGCAAGGGCGTTTCAATGTGCAACTTTGGTCGGATGGCGCCGCGGCGAACGCCCCAGCGGCCACGCCAGCAACAAACCCACTTGCGCACCATTCGTGCGGCAGGCAGGCGTGCTTCAGGGTCAGTGCCTTTCAGAACCGATTCATACTGCCAATATACTTCAGTAGCCGAAGGTGCCACGCCATGACCAACATTCAGTTGCGCTACCCAGTCACGAGCGGTAGCTTCAGCTAGAAACTTCTTAGCCCGGGCCACTGCCAGTCGCCACTCTTGCGTCTCAGGTGCAAAGGTTTGCCTCAATGTTTCCATTGGTGTTTGCAAGACCAAGTCCTCCACGATGCGACCAGGGTCCATGGAGCTTGGCGACGCAGCTGCAGCCCAGTGCTGCAACATACGCACGCTGAGTTCCAGATTCTGGTCGCTCAGCAGGTATACAGCTATGGTTGCTTTCTGTCCAGCAGGGCCCAAGCCACCAGAAGCTTCGCGCTTCTTACTGTGCCGCCTTCTTTGCAAGGCATTCTTGATCTGCAGCTGGTTCGTCCGTAAGGCTTCCTGCAATTGGAACACCTCCTCGGACATCTGGGAAATGACAGCACATGGGGATGAAGGCAGCACGTTCTTGTCTAAATAGCTTGAACCAAAGGAATGCACAAAATGCGCTGGTCCCCGTGTCTGCCGTAACCCATGCACAGAAATTGAAAACCCAACAGAAATCCACAAGAACATCGCCAGAACTTGGATGAGTGCAACCACAGAATCAGTAACAGAAACCGTCTCTAAACGCTTGGAATCGACAATGCTTGATGCTACTTGGCCTCTTGCTGTTTGGCGCATGCATGCATGCAACTTTGTTACACATGTATGATGAAGGAAGGCAATGAATATGAACAGTGCATCACTTTTGCCTGCTTCCATTGGAAGTCTATTTGCAAGAGTTTCTGCATGTGTTTCATGCACCGTTTCTTTGGCCACATACACGCCAGCTCAGCTGGCTTCGGCTTGCTATCATCGGGCAAGCTACTTGGGTTCCCCATGAGCTGCCGGATGCTTGCGTTTAAACTTGACATCTCTTGCTGTGGAGCTGCTCCAACTCCAGCAAAAGCTGCTTTCCACGGCTTGGCTGCGAAGAAGCTACGAGGGGCTTGCATGACATGCCACACCCAAGCCAATGGATTAATTCAGCCATCAGGAGAAGTGCTGCGCAGAGAGCGATGCTCTTTTTGAAGCCATTTCTTGAAGCCACTGAATGCTGCCATGTCCAAGGGTTGAGCCACATGCGTGGCACTGGCTGGCACGAACGCGAGTTGTAGGCCAGACACTGCAGCTGCCTTCAGGACACTTGGCGTCAAATGACATGGCGCACAATCTAACAGCAAGACCCCTTGGGTCCCTGCGCTGCACACACTTTTGATGACAGCCGCAACTTCTTCCAGAATCTGCACCATGCAAGGAGAAGAGTTCCACGCCGATTGCTGTGCTAGCACTTTCAGGTTTGTCTGCGGCAATGCGGCTTGGCCGCGCATCACAGCCTTTGTCAACCGTGCACGGCTGCCAAGCAAGTAGTGCGGTAACTTTCCTTGTAGGCTTATACATGTGCAAATAATAGCAACATAAGTGAAACATCCTCTGTGATTCTCCTTCTTCACCTTCGCAGTAAAAGGCACTTGGCGCCCATGCTCAACAGTGACACAGCCCGCTTGCGGCATCAAGCTATAGCCAATGGATGTCTCGTCTAAGTTGAGAAACACCAGCTTTTTAGTGGCGAACTTCCGCCTGATGTAGCAGACTTGCCGCCAAAAGGCTTCCACCTACCAGGTGGAACAGCACGCTATGGAACGGCACAGCTTAGACTCGTTTCGCGTCCCAAAAATGGTCCCAAAAAGTGGCCTCGGAAATAGACAACCTTAGCTTCGGGGCCTCTGGGCGGACCCTTTTTTGGGACCAAATCCCGTTCCCAAAACGGGACCGAAACTGCTACCCACAATGGCCCCTAAACGGAAAGAAAATGGACACCCTGGAAGCAACTATCCCTAGAGCCTTTGCTTGTAGCAAGGGCGTTTCAATGTGCAACTTTGGTCGGATGGCGCCGCGGCGAACGCCCCAGCGGCCACGCCAGCAACAAACCCACTTGCGCACCATTCGTGCGGCAGGCAGGCGTGCTTCAGGGTCAGTGCCTTTCAGAACCGATTCATACTGCCAATATACTTCAGTAGCCGAAGGTGCCACGCCATGACCAACATTCAGTTGCGCTACCCAGTCACGAGCGGTAGCTTCAGCTAGAAACTTCTTAGCCCGGGCCACTGCCAGTCGCCACTCTTGCGTCTCAGGTGCAAAGGTTTGCCTCAATGTTTCCATTGGTGTTTGCAAGACCAAGTCCTCCACGATGCGACCAGGGTCCATGGAGCTTGGCGACGCAGCTGCAGCCCAGTGCTGCAACATACGCACGCTGAGTTCCAGATTCTGGTCGCTCAGCAGGTATACAGCTATGGTTGCTTTCTGTCCAGCAGGGCCCAAGCCACCAGAAGCTTCGCGCTTCTTACTGTGCCGCCTTCTTTGCAAGGCATTCTTGATCTGCAGCTGGTTCGTCCGTAAGGCTTCCTGCAATTGGAACACCTCCTCGGACATCTGGGAAATGACAGCACATGGGGATGAAGGCAGCACGTTCTTGTCCCTAAATAGCTTGAACCAAAGGAATGCACAAAATGCGCTGGTCCCCGTGTCTGCCGTAACCCATGCACAGAAATTGAAAACCCAACAGAAATCCACAAGAACATCGCCAGAACTTGGATGAGTGCAACCACAGAATCAGTAACAGAAACCGTCTCTAAACGCTTGGAATCGACAATGCTTGATGCTACTTGGCCTCTTGCTGTTTGGCGCATGCATGCATGCAACTTTGTTACACATGTATGATGAAGGAAGGCAATGAATATGAACAATAGATACCCTGGATGGTCAAGTCAGAAAATGCCACTAGTTCACGTCCCGTTTCTGGGACCAGTTCAACCCCCCCAAATAGACAGCTCATAGACAGCTCTTATTTTCAACTTTCGAAGCACGGCTCGTACAAATCAATGAGCTCCATGTTCTCTGCCAGCCACGGCTCTGAGCTGTCCCACTCAGCAGAATGGTCCACAGTCATGATAATTGGCACAGCAAAGATATATACAGAATACCGGTATATGCCAGTTTTGGATTGTCCCAGGCTGTGAACATCGGAATTGCATGCCATCAGAATACTATTAGCGGGCGGGAGGACCACCAAGGTCGAACACAGTGGCATCAGAATACTATTGGCGGGCGCGCAATGCCGACACCAATCATCAGAATACTATATATTAGCGGGCGGGAGGACCACCAAGGTCGAACACAGTGGCATCAGAATACTATTGGCGGGCGCGCAATGCCGACACCAATCATCAGAATACTATTAGCGGGCGGGAGGACCACGAAAGCCGAACACAGTGCCATCAGAATACTATTGGCGGGCGCGCAATGCCAACACCAGTCCTCAGAATACTATTAGCGGGCGGGAGGACCACCAACGTGGAACACAGTGCCATCAGAATACTATTAGCGGGCGGAAGGACCACCCAAGTGGAACACAATGCCATCAGAATACTATTAGCGGGCGGGAGGACCACAACAGTCGAACGCAATGTCATCAGAATACTATTAGCGGGCGGGAGGACAACCAACATGGAACACAGTGCTATCAGAATACTATTAGCGGGCGGGAGAGCCATGGGCCACCCCGTTTGGGACTTACAAAGTTATTAACTAGCGGGAGAAGGGGGGAGAAGGAGGAAGGGGAAGGGGGTCTATCTATTGCCCGATAGCGTTGTACACCCGTACCTTCCCAAACGGGGTGCCCCCGTACACTCCCAATAGTTCCAAAAGTAGCTTATTATGAAAAGCTTTCTTGTTTAATGTTACCTCTCTCAAAAACATCGCTTCAGGAAGACCTCGTTCATTAATTCCGCTGGGCTCAACAATCTGGTACCCCTAGCTGCGCCACAAGCGCCCAAGAGCATACCGGCTTCTGGCACCTCTAGCTGCGCAATAAGCGCCCAAGAGCGTACCGGCTACATTGTTGTTATACTTCTGGTACCCTAGCTGCGAGACCAGCGCCCAAGAACGTACCGGCTACATTGTTGTTATACACTTATGACTTATTATTGAATACTCAGACATTATCCCTGCGATCCATACATGACACATGTTAGACAATGTGGTACCCCTAGCTGCGCGACAAGCGCCCAAGAGCGTACCGGCTACATTGTTGTTATGCACTTCTCATTGAATATACTCGGACATCATCCCTGCGATCAATACATGACACATAATGGAAAATTTGTGGTACCCCTAGCTGCGCGACCAGCCCCCAAGAGCGTACCGGCTACATTGTTCTTCATCCTTGCGATCCATACATGACACTTGTGAGACAATGTGGTACCCCTAGCTGCGCGACAAGCGCCCAAGAGCGTACCGGATACATGGTTGTTATGCACTTATCCTGGAATACTGACAAACCTATATCTCCCCTGGATTCAAAGATGACACATGTGAGACAATGTGGTACCCCCAGCTGCGCGACAAACGCCCAAGAGCGTACCGGCTACAGCTGCCCTCAGCTGCGCACTCCCGCGCCCAGAAGCACAGCCATGTCATGGAGCATACCGGCTACATTGCGCTGCCCTCAGCTGCGCACAGCGGCGCCCAGAAGCGCAGCCATGTCATGGTACCCCTAGCTGCGCGACAAGCGCCCAAGAGCATACCGGCTACATTGTGCTGCCCTCAGCTGCGCACAGCGGCGCCCAGAAGCACAGCCATGTCATGGTACCCCTAGCTGCGCGACAAGCGCCCAAGAGCGTACCGGTCACATCATGAACCCCAACATTCACGCAGTGGTACCCCTAGCTGCGCGACAAGCGCCCAAGAGCGTACCGGCATTCTGTCAGCTGCCCTCAGCTGCGCACTCCCGCGCCCAGAAGCACAGCCATGTCATGGTACCCCTTGCTGCGAGACCAGCGCCCAAGAGCATACCGGCTACATTGCGCTGCCCTCAGCTGCGCGCAGCGGCGCCCAGAAGCACAGCCATGTCATGGTACCCCTAGCTGCGCGACAAGCGCCCAAGAGCGTACCGGTCGCATCATGAACTCCAAGATTCACGCAGCTGTGCACCAGGCAGTCTGGCAACTTTTTCCTCTCCACGTCATCCAGTCTACTGCCTGTGTCAGCCACGTCTAAATGCAACTGCGCTGCTGCGCTGCCATGGGTAAAACCATTTGTGTTTACTTGAATGTGTGTCTGTGTGTCTGTTGTAAGCTCATGAGAGCAACTTTTGCCCACGTTGGCATCCAGCAAGGCCACCCAACCCCTTCAGGGAAGACTTGGCCCCTCCAACAGAGCCGACACCACCTGCAAACATCTCATGTCTTTTTTTGAAGTAGATATACATATACAACAATTCCAATCTATCCAGGACAGTGCTGCATCCGGGCCACTGGCCACAAACAATGGATCATCCGACAGAGATGGTGTGACATATCCTATATAGCTAGTGGAGACATACATATACGCACATATTATCATGACGGATACACACACACACACATATATATATGTTTAAGTCTCGGTCATCTATCTGGATATCTGTATCTAACTCTCCAAGTATTAAAGAGGTACGTCGGCATCGCATTGAATCACCAGATGCACATGCACAGTAATAGCTCAAAAAACAGATACACAAATATATTTGTACATATCACATCATATATATATTGTATGTTGATGTATCTATGTATCTATGTATATATATATATTGTATGTTGATGTATCTATGTATATGGCAATGTCTATCTATATCATATCTCTCCAGGTGTTCAGCAAGGTGGCAGACAGGTACAGACAGGTGCAGACTACAGCCCTTTGGGATGCAGCATGCCATTGGGAGCATAGTAGCAGTCTCACTCGCGCAGCTTTCGAGCCAGCAAGTATTGCAAATCAGCCACTGTCAGCGCGCCAGCCTTGGCACGGAGAGCTCGCAGCCGCCGTTCCTGTCAGGGATATGCGGACAGGGATGATGCCGGTGCTGGGATTAGACTATTCCCTGGCCTGCTGTTTGATTAAAGCCGTGGCCCTTTTCAGCTCTAGCTTCAGCACCTTCCGTTCTTCTTTCAAAGCTTGCACGGCTTCAGTGCTGCCATCTGCCCGCGCTGCAACACCAGCAGGAGGTGCACCAGCAGCAGCAGCCCCACCAGCGCCATTGTCAGCCATGCACTGTTACACACACAGGAGTGGTTCCGAGTGTCAAACTGAGGTCCCTCAAAAGCTGCAGGCGTCACAGTCCGCCGATGACCCCATGTCCTTCACTCAATTCCGCACATGTCTTCAAACCCTCCGAGATCCCGGATGAAAGCAACCTAACATGCATTTAATTTCTAGATTCCCACATGTAATCTACTCTAGACTGTACTAAATTAGTAGCGTACCCCCAGCTGTGCACTCAGCACCCAGGAGCGTACACGCTGCCCTCAGCTACGCACAGCGGCGTCCAGAAGCACAGCTACTATACAGAACAGCTTTCCAACATTTTGCAACCCCCATTCTCTCATCCGTCGGTGGGCCACTGGCAAAAACATGTCTGAATTGGGCACCAGAAATGGGACCCGAAAAGCTTGGCATTTAGGGTGTGACGACTGTCGGCCCTCATAGTGCATCACTTTTGCCTGCTTCCATTGGAAGTCTATTTACAAGAGTTTCTGCATGTGTTTCATGCACCGTTTCTTTGGCCACATACACGCCAGCTCAGCTGGCTTCGGCTTGCTATCATCGGGCAAGCTACTTTGGTTCCCCATGAGCCAACTCATAAATAAATAATTAAATAAATTAATTTCTAAATAGATAAATAAATAAATAGTAATGTCAAGTGGAGATGAGAGCAAGACTGAAATGAAAGAGTTGATGGATAAATTCAACAAATACGCTAAACAGGTGAAACTGGTTCTGGCAAAACTTGAAGAAATTGACAAGAAAATAGGACAAAACTATTACTATTTAGATGATGATAAGAGGGGTTATTTACGCCACAAATTGTGAAAGGTGTAAGGCTTGTTCATGCTGATGTGTTGTTGCTTCCAGTGCTTGCCATCACTGTCGTTAAGGCTCAACAATATCAAACTGCACTGCGCTGATGCTTCAAGTAAGATCATGATTCAAAGTCAGGAGGAGTAAGAGCTGTGGCAGGAATACGAGCTGTTGCTTTTCAAGACTTTTGTTGTAGCAATGGTTGCCTTGCGCAATGCTCGTGTTCGGCGCTATGTCCTTCTTTGCCGCTTTTGGCATTTCGCAGCACGAACCTTACAGTTCTCTGCCCTGCCGCCGAATACAAAGCTGTTGAAGGACGTGGAGCACAATGAGATGCCAAACTGGATTCGTGAGCAAATGTGTGATTTGGGGTATGATAAAGGCGTCTCAGACAACATGGCCGAGGCGCTCTCATTTTACAGCCCTTCGGCCTTGGTGGAGGCTTCTCGAGAGAGTTTGCTGGGTGCGCTGCAACAGACATTCCCAAATGATGCACAGCGGATGATCATGGCCCAAAGCCTTTATGACCGCATTCA